TCTTCTTAACCCTACTAACCTTATAGTAGGCTATATTAAGCCTATAATCTTTTTTAGTATAGGTATATAGAGTGCCCCTAGTACCTAGAATAGCCTAAGAATATTAGAACCTATTTAGAACATGTTTAGAACCTATTCTTACTCTATATAAGGTGCCCTTATTATTAATCTTAGTATAGTAGTAGCGCTCTCTACTCTCTATCTTAACTACCCTATTAGGGCTAACTATAGGCTATACCCTAATATTATCTAGGATATAGCTAAGGGTAAGGTACTATTAATAGTGCTTCTATAACCTGTTAAGAACATGTTCTAAATATATTTTAATCTGCTTACGTAGGATATAAGGAATATATTAGTAATAGGTATAGTAGTAGTAGCTTATAGTGTTACTAGTATAGAATATATTTAGAATAGGTTTAGAACGTGTTGTAAAATCTTACAATATAATATTTAGTTAACCTCGCTTAGCTAGCTAGTAGAGCTTGGCACGGCCTAACCCTATGCCAAATACAAGTTCACGCAGCGCTAATTCTATGGTTATATAAACTGCGCCCTCCCTTAAATGCAACTACATTAGATGGAGAATAGATCTTCGATGATTATTGATACCGCATCGTACAAAGTTTGGAGGAAATTGAATTGGCTGACCTAGTCACTGGGCCTGGGGCTAGGGCGGTTAGACGAATCGACCAAGCCTCGGCCGAGACATGGAGAAAATTCAGACAATTTAGAACAGCTCTTCTTCGCCATGAGGCCCCTACTACAGTACAAAACCGGTTTACAGTAGCCATATTTATCTAAAGTAGACCAAGAAGTGGTTTAGGTAGAAGAAGTAAACCTAAATAGGGTTTATTATACCATGTATTCCACAAAAGTAAACTACTTTTATTTCTACTTCTATTAATCTACTAGTATTAGTAATAACTAGTTTCCTACTAACTATTTAAGTATTTTACCCCTCCTTTCTTTAATCTTCTTTACTACCTCTATTACCACCTCTACCACCACCTCTATCACCACCTCTACCACCACCTCTATCACCACCTACATCACCACCTCTACCACCTCTACCACGACGTCTGTCACCACCTCTATTAGTACCACCTCTATGTATTACCACCTCTATTATTACGACCTCCTATTAGTGCAAGATAGCATGACTTATTATTATGTCGTATGTGCGTATAGCGTAAAGCTAAGTTTCTCTACCCCTTTTAGTCTTAGTTAGGTATTATAGGGTATAATAGAAATAAAACTACTTTTTGTAGTATATTTAAACCCCTACTATAAAGGTAAAGTACTATTTTAAGAAGGGTAAACCACCACTTGAGTGGAAGTGAAGCACCAGTTTAAACCTAGTTATAGGGATACACGAGGGCAGGTAACACCTATATTGTAATGTCCCTAGC